CTTTGTCATTGATAATCAAAATAATATAAGATACTTACTATAATTAAAAATAACAATCAGTAAAATAAATAGCAAATGTTTTACCGTAAAGTTGATCGGGCTGTATTAGTATTAGTCTATCTTTTGGTCATTTGATATGCAGGACCGCTTTCTTCTGTCAAAGACACAATTGATTATCAGTGGATTATCTCCATAAAAGTTATCCCTGCATAGTTTATTGTTAGACTCGTCACATTTTAAACCCATCAACATGACAATAACGATAATAAACTCAATGGTAGTGTCCTGATATCAATTAAGATCCTCTGGATAATTACTATCTACATAATTGTTCTTCATACTGTATTTATACAATGACTATTCTTACCTCCTTTCTTTAATGTCTCATCATCCAACCTCGCACATCTCATCCATCCCAACATTCCGTTCCTCCTCCTCCTCTTCTCCTCCTCCTTCTCCCCCTCCCTCTAACTTACCACGTACAAACCATCTCTTACTATCACAAGATTCGCGTGACAATATCAGACACGTTGTAAATCACCATATTCTCCATCATCGTCTTGAGATTCCTAATCTGCACCAACGACTGTCTAAATCTACATGGGAGAGGATGATAGGAGTTTTAACGCGAATTGGTGAGAAAGTATTTGAAAAGGTTGTCGGTAAGAGTAAAGCGGCGGATAGCAGACAACAGAAAGAGGAAGAAGAGGAGAAGGGTGTTGAAGTGTTTGGAAAAAGTGATGAAAGTGAAGATAACGGAATCTATTTTGAAAGTATTACAATCAAAGATGAAAGTAAGCACTTGAATGCAGTGGGAGTTGTATTCGGCATTTCTTAGGTGAATATAATATAACATCGAATCTACTACACTTAGAGCCAAACATTGATAACTTGGATCCCATTAATCCAAAGAGTGGCGTGAACGTCGATTCAAATGATAATTTCAACGCTAGCCCTGATGTTCGACCAACAGAACCTACACCCATTGGTGCTACATCATCCATGGCTTCTTCCTTACCAATGTCTTCCTCATTGCCAACGTCTTCCTCTCAGTCCAGCCTTTCAACATCGGTCCCTCTAAGTACGTTATTTGCATCCTTGTTCATGGTATATTACGTAATTCTTCGCGTCCGACTTTGGAATGCAAGAATGAAAACAAATGTATATGTTGGAGATGGTACAACAGAAATGATCAGAATGGATCGAGGAGATAATCGAAGGCGGAAAAGAGAACAAGGTGAGATACGCGTGTATGAAGATATTTGGGGAGCGGATTGTTTAAGGAAAGCGAATTAATTACAGAGAGTGATAATAGTTGCAATTGGGGACTATGATTCCGTGTCAGAGAGATGTCCTTTGAAAGCATGACTTTGACCACTTTTTAGAGTTATAACATTCTTGTAATTCAATACGTCAGATTCATACGTATATTATATCGCTATCTTTATTCTAACATCTTTTTAATTCTTATTCGCAAAGTTATGCCGATGCAACGTCACAGCTCAACTCCTAGTACCATCTTCTCTTCGGTTTCTTCTCCTTCACCTACACCTACACCATCACCGTCACCCTATTCGCACTCAACACACCGAGCGTCATCCTCCTCCGCTTCTTCTTCCCAACCAGTGTTCTCAATACGTGCATCACCTTCGACTAGTGACTACCATCTCGTAATGCTGTATTCTGAAAGCATCAACTTTTTTCTCATGACTGTGCCCTGGGGCCTGATATTGTTCCTGATATGTGAGCTGAATCACATACAGAAGGATATTCTTGTCGTTCTGTTCTCGATGTTGTTGGGATCGACTGTGCTGTATATTGAAGGGGGACTGATAAGCGAGGGTGATTGTAGTTTTGGAAGGAGGGAGATTGCTGAATACATTGTTTATGGAACGTTGATCGGGGGAGTGATAATATGCATAATTGAAATGGCCGGAATGGGAACTTGATGTGATAATAAGGGCGAAGGAACATTATGGAAATTCGAGAAAGAGAGAGGGGATATTATCATGTTGGTCTGGTAAATGCATTATAGCGGACAAAGATTGAAGACTGTTCATTTGCATTATCTGCTTTCATTTGCCTTTTATTATTCGCCCATAGCTTTTCCGAATATTATAATTTACACTATTAATAGTCTTTTATGTGTAAGGCATGTCCGATTTTTAAGTGTATTAAGGACTTCTATAATAATAAAATGCATTATTTGCTTGATAAAAAGCACTCTACTCTATTTGAAGCTCTGAAAGTCCATCAAATCACCGAAAACACTTGGGGAAGGAGGAGGGAAAGAGAGAAGTTTATATTAGTCTCGGCCAATAAATATGAAGAAAGCGCGATCCATATATTAATTCCCTATGCCAATATCACCATAATCCTATCAACCTATTCACAGACACTCCTCGTAGAAAAAATAATACTTACTCATCCCCGGCACTTCTCTCTTGTTGATTCGGCGTAGTCGATGCAAATACGTTGAAAAATTGACCACCCTGAGGCATAGCTACATTCTGTGCTCCGCGTTGTTGTGAGGGTGACGAGAGATTCGGCGACGATGAGTTTGACATTGATAGATTGTTCAATGAGGATAGATTAGTCGTTGATTGCAAATGCTGACTCGGAAGGCTACCCTGAGATGCGTTCTTCATCCCATACATTCCTTGTCCCATTGTCATTGGCGACAACCTCCCGCCTCCCATCTGTGGGCTACTGTTATACAAACTCATGATACTCGATTTTAAATTGTCTTTATCTCCTACACCTGGATTGGGGGTTGTCGACCTCTGAATAGGTGGAGCTGCTTTTTCCTGTGTTGAACCTGTAGGTGCCGAACTCGCAGCCTGTTTTCCGATGGAGAATAACTCGGCTCCGTGAATTTGGCTTGCTGAATTTTGAGATTTTACGATTGGGATTGAAGAGGATGGTGGTGGAGAGAAAATGTCGAGAAGATCCGATGATGAGGAAGACGATTTAGGAACTTGTTGTTTCGGTTGTTGTTGTTGTTGTTTTTGCTGCCGCTGTTGTTGTTGTTGTTGTTGTTGTTGTTGTTTAGATTGTTGTTGGGAATGTTTTGATTCTTTGTTGGTAGATGTCTGTTAGTGATAGACAAAGTGAATTAGAATTACGTTATGCATTAGACAATTATTCAATATGAGATCTGTTAACATTGCTAGCACAGCCAAATATTAGAGATTGGACGTTCTGCAAATAATGGCTCTACTTACCTTTTCTTGTTGAGCCGAGAGCCCAGCACTCAACGTGTCTGGATCGGGAATTGGACCCTTCTGAGCCCATTTCTTTGCCTCATACTTGGATCTAATCCAATAATCTATATTGCTATTTTAAAAGGAGCAGATGTTAAATAAACGTAGCAAAGTATAATATGCATTGGCACTTGGTTATTCACCTCTCTGGTATCTTTGTATTCGATGGCAGATTGGCCTCCCAATACCTAATAAATGTCAGCCAATTAGGTCTTTGTCAAAAGTTACGAGTTGTAGAACGACGATAATTGTCCAACTTACACATTAGCCTTAGCATTACCCCACCGACGCACATTCTAATACCAAACATTGATTGTGTTAGGATGCATTACTACTATGCCAATAGCTTGACTAAACATTTCGTCGATTCATACTTACTTCTACTTGTTCTGGTGTCCACGAGTCTAGATCGATAGATTTAACTACAAAGTAAATCTAGTTATGACAAACATGAACACTATTGTGAACTAAGGCACTCCATTGTTTGTTACCTCTGCTAATATGAGTTCCCATAGATCGATGAGTTCCAGAACATCTTATACAAATAAATACGCCAAGATTCCACGAAGCCCAGCGAGGATCTTTAGAAACATTTCGTATGAAAAGATTAATATTACGCTGTTCTATATGCAATAGAGAGTGTTAATTGTCCAACCTTTACGCCTGCAATCAGCACAGTGTCTGTTCTCTGGTCTCTGTAGACATTCCTTCAATATTTTGGTATGTTGCTCATTGAGAGTCTTGTTGGCTGTGCGTTGGAATCTGGTTGACATTGTATATTGTTACTGATATAAATTAACGTTCGAAGAGCCCAAGAACCCAAGAAATAAAGTGCTATATTAATATCAATTATAACTTTATTATTATGTGTTCTAGAAAAGTGTTGTCAAATAATAATAGGACTAACTTTTAAAAACGCACCTTGTGTGACATTAAGTTAAATAGCGCCACGGGAAACCATGATAGAAATTTCCTTAAATTCTACAACAACCTGTTGGTTATTATTTAGTTTTAGTTTGTCCAATCAACGTACTTTGGAATTGTTCTACTCTTTCTACAATTTTTATATTTTAAGATGATGATACTTCTTTTGGTCATGAAAGCTACATACCTTGTGGACGGGTCAATCTTGCACTTTTTGAGAGACGCCAAGAACTGTTAATAAATTGAAATTTGTCCTAAGCTTTGTTTTGGCATGCACAAGGTGAGCCCTGGACGTTTACACGTAGAGGTTGTATTTCTCTTTCCAAATTAATAATGTATAAAATTGCGCATTACTCATTGCTTGAAGTCATGTCCTGACCAGCCTTTAAGAGTTTCAGAGTGTAAGGATAAATTAATTGAGATGGTTCACTAAATGTCATGTCTGAGACTCGAGTCTGAGACATTAGTTATTTTATTGTTGCGTCATCACGTTCAATTAAAAGGGCGCGGAAGGAACTTTACTACAATTATCAAACCGGATGCCACTTATTTTAGAACAAAACTACAAATCTTTTTTAAATATCTGCTATGTAAACATGCTGTTTGGCTATTGGATGGTTACATAAGAACATGTGTATAATTCCTTGTTTAACGAAAAAGAAATGGTACAATTCGCAGGAAGTTTTGGAGAAACGAGAAATAGGTCTACAAAGTTTTTTAGTCATAGTTGCCATAACGGAAAATTAGAGACTTACTGAAAGAAATCTGTTGGCATTTTGATAATATTGCAGAGCAACCCATCGGCCGGTATTTTTTGTGGAACGAAAATAATATAACACGGAGTTACTGTTTGATGAGTATATTAATATTTACTTAATTTTGATAACCGACGTGTCTATGTCTGTCTACAGATATTGATCAATGGCGTTGATTAAGCGATAATTATTTGTCAGAATAAATAGGCTGCTCTTTATAACTCTTGCTAAATAACTGGCCAATATTAAGGTCATGCCAAATGATCAAGTATCCTTAATACTAATCACTCAGCATTGGTATTTGTGTTGGAGAATACAAACAAACGGTTGTTAATTACTTCCAAATGTAGTTTGTTTATTGTCCATTGTTTACATCTTCAATCAGATATCTGTTTGCTGGTAATCATTAATATTAGTAATTAAGTTCTTTGTTGAAAGTCTGCACGGTGATTGCTGCACAAGTATTTAATAGAGTTGAATTATTGGAGTAGCGCCTTATAAATGTACATTAGGCAATAATTTATATGTTTGATGAGCTATGCTTCAGAGATAGATATACACGTATTGCTTGGACACGGCAATAAATGTAACCAGTAGATATGATATTATATTAATATGCTTACAAATTTAATCCAACCCTAGTCGATAACTTTTAAATTGTCAATTTTATCGTAAACTGATTATCTGATTGTTATAAGATTCAGTATGAACATGGCAGACGTGTTTGCTAAAACTACAAGCTACAAAAGTATATTTCTTTATTTAATTTTTGCAAGCCAGGTACTCTTGTTCTGTAATAAATTAATTGAAGAAATTTAAATGAGATACGTAAAAAATCTACAGAGACATTTTGTACATTCGATTGTTTGATATCAATAAATTGAATATATCGTTCTGAGGAGGAGATGATAATAAAGGATCCGAGATTGGTCAAGTTGTGTTGGCAACAGAATTCTGCATAAATTTGTAGAAAGTAATTTTTACGAGTCTTGACTACATGCGTGTAAAATTGAATACAGATTTGCAATTCGTATGCTTGGAGATATTACTTTGACGTTATAAAATACGATGCGAGATCGTTTTTTGTATTCTGTTTCAAAGTTTAAAAGCGTTCACCCAATTATAGAGAGAGCGATTTATCCATCTCATCAATCGATCAGCTATTTCCTATCATAATTTTTGAGAGAAACCATCCAATAGCGGTTGGACATGCAAGATTATTTTATCGAACCAATAATCTTATCAACGATTAAAGTCTCGTGCCGGGCGATGATCATGTGTTGCGAGCATGCATTCGCAAGTGGTTGATCCAGTAAATATCAAATAACCATAACAACAATAACAATAACAATAACAATAAATAAACAATAAACAATGGCAGTTAATTTCAACGAATAATTGCCCAGATGCGGTATTTTAAGTTTCCTTATCTGTGTATCTCTGCTGGAGTTATGAGATTGCACATATATGCTCGCATATATAATGAAAGTTTGGCGATTTCATCTTATCTATCTATTCGATAAAATCGCAACCCGTCATGATAACATCCTTAGGTAATCGTTGTACACCAGCCAAATTACATACCTGTCAATTTCCAGAGAATGTTTACGAGTTGATGCGGGAAGATAATTATTTGTGAACCTTTATAGGAATGTCCATGTTGTGTAAGCAAAATCTGTTGGTCAGAATTTCTTGCTAGTACTGCGCCGGTCAAATTAGGTATGACATACCGCGTGACCCGTGTCTTTCGATGGTATCCCAATTGGGGGATTGACCCAGATTATTATTATAATTGCAAAAAGAGTTTTTGTTCTCGCAAACTTTGACTTGGAAGTTGCTGTGTATATGGCCGGATTTTAATTCTCGCCGGTTTTCTCCTCTTATTAATATCATTGATATGAATATCTGTAATTAATAATACATGTATAGTTTAGAGTCAACGGTTATCGAATACGTTGAATATTAATATTTGATATTTTAGTGATACTAGTTATCTTCCCCATTTCCTATATTTAACATTACCTGTTCCTATCTCATATATATCTATATATATATATCCCGAGCATCAACTTTTCTTTCACACAGTGCTAAACTGACTGTCACCCACAACTCCAAGGTTCACACGGTATTGGCATACGGCACCTATTTCTATTACTCCTTGTTTCATTCCTGGTACTTTATATGCTAAGTGGTTCAAACACAATTATCTAATACCTGCTTGCCTGTTTGACGGCATTATTTGTCATATTTTTTTCTTCTTACCATAGTCATTAGCACCTCGGTCTTTCACTGCCTTTTTACAAATACACTAAACCTCGACCAGCATGGCTACCGGCCTCCAGTCAATAGCAGACCTCACTGCTTCGACCTGCATAACTACAGGCGACATTCCTCCGCCCCTCGTAGGAGCATCAATGACAGTCATCGGCACTCAATTATTTCTATTCGCTGGGAGATTAGTATCTTCTCGCAAAATGACAAACGATCTGTATATACTCGATCTCGAAACATTCATATGGACCAAGATCGTCGATAATTCCAAGACATTGCCAAAAGCGCGCTATTTTCATTCAGCAAACCCATATAAAAAGTCCATAGTGTTCTTTGGCGGAATGGGCTACACTCGTAACGGCGGCGAAGAATTATGCGTATTAGACGACGTCGTAATATATAACATAGAAACCTTTACATGGCATCATCCCGAGATTAAGCCATCACCTGCCGCCCCAAAGCCAAGATATGCTCACCTCGCTGCCATCACTGCCAATAAGCTTCTAGTCATCGGAGGGCAAGATATGAGTAATCATTATATCGAAGAGATTAATGTTCTGGACCTGGATGAATCAACTTGGACCATAACCCGATCATTCGAAAAGCATTGTGGTGCATACAGATCAATAGCCGTAAGTAGCAGGAATCACACTGAACTACCAGTGTTTGGTAATGGTATGGCCGAGAGCGTACCGCTATCCCCATACAGCAGTGACACTTCGTCACAAATATCGATGGACTCTCACCCTCCTCCCACCAGTCCTGTTCCTGTTCCACAACCCCTACGTAAGAGCACATCTGCTAATAGTCTACCGTCCGTTAATATTCCAGCTTTCGCTTCTCCGAGAAAAATGTCAGTCGGTACATTTAATTATAGTGGCACACGACGCGGTCAACTCGCAAATCACGTCATCAGTCGAATGCAAGGAACTGAGAATAGTTACTGTCGTCTATCTTATTCGACCAGTGTTACCGACGACAATTCGAATCCAGTATATATATACTCGAATTACAATTTCACAGATGTCAAAAGAGAACTACAAATTATCGCTCCACCCACTACGCCAAATTATCAAATTATGGATCATTCGGCAAGCATGACTGGAGCGTTTCTTCCGCCTGGCTTGCGATTCCCTACAGGATATATACTCGGTCATTATCTAATAATATCAGGCACATATCTCACAAATGCTAGTCAGACATTCAGTGTGTGGGCAATGAATTTGGCTAATTTGGTATGGACTCGTATCGATACTGGTTCTACGTTTACGCACGGATCATGGAACAGAGGAGTATTGTGTGAGGTGACTAACAAATATGTTGTACTTGGCAATAGAGATAGAGCGCTTGTCGAAGATTACAATCATAGACAAACCAATTTTGATCATGTAGCTATAATTGACTTGGAAGCATTTGGGGTATATCAACCACCCCCAGCAACAATGTCACCTAGCGCTCAAGAATTAGGACTTGCATTAATTAGTGAACCTAACATGGCTGATTATGAGATTGTCACAATTGATGGATATCGTATTCCGGTCAATTCGATGATGCTAAGCGCGAGGTGGCCTCATTTCAGAGCGTTAGCTGAAGCACAGGCAAACCGAGTGCCTGAAGTCAAATACGACTCTGTTTCTAAGAAAGGTGAAGAAGAGACAACAATAACAATGTACAAATATCGGGCGCTAGAATTCCCCGAGCCATATGCTGTTGCGATAGCGTTTATTCAATATCTATATACCGACAATTTGCTTACTCTTCAGCAACACCAACCATCCATTCTGGCTCAACTGTTATTATTGGCTGATATGTATGATTTGGAGCGTCTACGTCAATTGGCATCTCATGCATTACATCAAAATCTGAATATGTCTACAGCCGCATTGATATACGAGACGGCTGCATTATCGAAACAATCGGGACTTCAGATTAGAGCGTTGAAAGTGATGATAGCCGCTAAAAAAATGCTTCAACAACAGCAAATGCAGCAGGAACAACTACAATTACAACAACAACAACAACAGCAGCAGCAGCAGCAAGAACAACAGCAGCAATCGCAACAAGCCATCAACGAACAAATGGCGCTACAATCACGCTCTGTTAATGGACAGCTCATCAGAAGGCCAAGTGGAAGCGAACATGATTCGGCTTCTTCTCAATGGTCGGCAATGTCAGGTGGATCTCCCACATCACTATACGCACCTCAAATTCAATTCTCTCTGCAATCACAATACGGTTATCAAGCACAAGTACAGAATCAATATCCGATGGATGTCCGTACATCATACTACGACTTGTTTGCATCTACTGTTGCATCTCAATCACCTCCAGTGGTAACTAGACCGCGTGCATCGTCGAGTGTTACTGCTTATACCAGCTCGTTCCACAACCAACCACAGCAATCACCATTACAACAACAGAGACCATATCTACCGACAATACATGATTCAATGACGGATATATTTGGAGATGATGAAGAGGCAGGACCATCGGCTGGGAACTCGAACATATCCAAAAACGATAACGGCTTCAAGAGTGGAACTGGTAGTAGTAGAATGTTTGGTGCGGGGAATGGATATTCGGCTGCTGGGGGTACTGTTGTACATACACAGGATGGGATGTATGGTTCATGAAGAAAAAGATAATTTAAAAAAAAAAACGAATAGATTTGAGTTGAATGAAATGGGAGTGGGTGAGTAGAGTGGGATATTTGACAACTGAAGTATAATATTTTAGAAGGCGGGGTGGGGATGGAGGGAGAGATTTAACAAGGATTTATTCATTTAACGTACAGAATTTATACATCAATGGGATTTTAACAGTTTTAACTAATCGAGTTGATTTTTTCTTCGAATCGGCCCAAAAAATTTTATTTTTCCTTCCTTTTTATTATTATCTTTGGATGAAATGTAGAAATGAAATTATTTGTAATAATTATTTTCAGTATATACATATTTATTATATATAAACACAGTACATAAATACACTATTTATAAATACGAATGAAGCTGTGTCAGTTGATTATCGTACGGTTTGCCTTTGTGATAATAATCCTGTAGCTTTACGGCTCTAGGAGACTGAGCTTTGATCATCTCGGTAATTGAATGTATGCTTACCTTTCTTTCGTTCTTCACGTGATGCGTATTTATGTCACAAATAAAATTATTATTATTCCGTACAAACAACCATTTTTGTAGCAGTCAAAAAGAATTATTGCCCCATATAATAAACAAACAAAAATATTTGCTTACTTATCTTTAATCACGTTACACATCGCTGCACATGGCTGCGAACCAACGAAGGAATCGCATTATGTCAAGTCGAATTTCTTTTTGGTTTCTTAATTTAAGTTTTTTGTTTTATGTGTAATTTATCGTTATTTTTTTAACCCGCTGCCGGTTATGCGTTCTTAGTATTCTAACATTTTATCGATCTCTTCCCCAAAAGCACTATTTCGGGGTCAACCGCCGTGCGAGGGACATGCATTCGGAGAACACAACCTTACGTAACACACGCATATACTAAAAACTGTCAAAATATGCATGCGTTGGTCTTAGATTGGTGTTTTACTCGAAAAGTTTTGAAAGGCTTGCATCTTCTTTCAAAAACATTGGCGCGTATAATGTTATTGTTATTCCGTGCTACATTTATCTACATATTCAAGGATCGTGTAGATTTGGTCATACTAATACGAACAAAGTAATAATACACAAATATTGAATCCGAATATAATACATAATGTATTACGATATTTGTGGTTTAAACCCTTGTGACACATAGATAGGGCTATCGGGTAATACCAGGCAGTTGAACATAATAATAATGTCACAGATTATTATCAGAGGCGTATTAAACTTGGCTCCCTAATATCACGGTTTGATATGACAATAATTGCCCGAGTAAAGCAGCGGCAGATATTCATGAATCGAAATCATAAAAACAAAGATTGGCTTATTGTATGACGAGGTCGCTTTTTATCGTATTGACATAACAATGTAATACATTTAAGATTTTATCGAGTGATATTACGTTATTTATATGGTATACTGCGGCGTCAACACAAATTGCTACTACACATATGCAAACTCGATAAGTCGGTCTCTCGATGATTCAATTTTGGCCTAATAAGACCAAAACTTCCCAAGCCCTTTTCTCAATTTTAATATTTAAATCTCTCGATAAGTCGGTCCATCAATGCATGAGTTTGCATGTGTATTGGCGTGATTCAATTACTTGGCAATCAATATTCCGACGTAAAATACGCAATACCAATTTCGTATTATTAGGGTAATTTGCCCAATTCTGATTATAAGTTTGTCTAATGATAAAGAGCTTCTGAAGAAAAGATATTTGAAAGTGGTTCCCCAAATGGCTCATCAGAGCATGGCTCTTGAATTGTTTGAACAATGTGTTTTACTGTTACTGTATCATTAAATTAAACTGAATTTTTAAGGTTTACAATTTTTTTTTTTGCTGTAACATGTTTCGTAGACTTGTGGAGGTTTATTAGTTATGTTGTACCTCAGTTGGGGACCTGTCTCAGTTCTGGACTGAGACAACTGAGTTCTGGACTGAGTGACTGGGTTCCGAACTGAGACAGGTCCCAAACTCAGACACAACAGTTACAAGTGTGAGAGAATTCTCTTTGTTATAATAAAATTTATACTATGGAAGTATTTTCTAATACAAAAAATTTGGGCGGAAAATTTTTTTATCATAGAGTAACTTTATCTTAAGCGGTGCAGAAAAAGTCACGTAGCATAACCAATTTTGAACCAATACAAATTGGTATTAAAGTATCGTGCATCAGCGCTACCGCTAACTGCAGTCTGTTTTCGCGTCTGTTAGTGAAAAAACGGGGAAAAAATGTCAACCGGTTCAAAGTTTGAAGCACAAAGAACAGTTGTAAGCCAGCTTTGGGCAAATGACATTCAGAAACCTGCTGAAATTATACGTTTAACAGGTTTTCCGAAATCCAGTGTATGATTTAGTCAATCGACTTAAAGAAAGGTCTAGTGTTACGCCCTGGAAGACCTGCAGCCGAAATGACTGAGAGACTGGAACAAAAAGATCCTAATCTGAAGGTTTCCGTTCGTACTGTTCAGCGTACATTAAAAAAAAAAAAAACTCTTAAGTTTGAAGTTTGTCGTCACTTAGGGCAATAACTGACCTGTTTGAGCGCCATAGTATTCACATTCTTGATTGGCCCGCTTACTCGCCGGATATAAACCCAACCGAGAATTTGTGGGCAATACTTAAGGGGAAAAGTGGAGAAAGAAGTAAATTTGCGGTTAATGAAGAAAAAAAAAAGCTTTCAACAATTGACTTTCAAACAATAATTCGTCGGGAATGGGAGGGTCTGGATGATAATCTCTTAGGTTAGCAAATAGTATAAAAAATCGTGTTTCGGAGGTAATTGAGCGGGAGGGCTTATTGAAATTTTGTACATAGTTAGTAACTGTATTTGGCAACATATGTACGAAATTAAGAAAAATTTTTGTTTGTGAGATTTATTTATGACGACCACTGTGTATTTATCGAGTTTGACTATGTACAGTGAAAACAGAAAAGTATACTTATTATTTATGAATCATTTTCTTTTAACATTTTGACTCAATTAACTAAGTGAGAACAGAGTAGTTACGTATCCTCAATTTCACTCTTTAAATGATAATTCTGGCAAAAAATAAAATTATTTCCTCCGATACCTTTTTGGGCTGCTGGGAGTATTATCAGGATCTTGACTATTGTTATCATCATTAGTATTAGAGGGACATTTTCGTTTCCGTATGAGCCGCCAAGGCTTTTCGGCTGGCTGGTGATTTTAACGTGATTAAGGAGATATTTTGCTATATAATCAACACAAGCATGTAATATAGTATATAGATAACATTGTTTCTTGATATGCATAAACTGTAAATAAGTCCGTTGAATTACCAGTTTATTCAAAAAAGAGTTTGAGTATCTAAATTATAAGAGATGTTAATATTGTAAATTGACTTTATTTGTACCAACATGTAACATACCTGCAGCTGAATCCATATCATAGCTATTTCTTGGTTTAGGTAGATCTCCCGTAGGTAAGAGTGTACTAGAAT